CCMAAARRARRMMAAAAAAATGAAGGCACTGTTTTAAGCTGCAGAAKTGTACTGAAGGTGAGTTATATTTTATTTTATTTCATTAAAATATATTTTAAAAACATACTGTGTAAAAGAATTAGGATTCTCAATAATTTATTATTTACATTAACAAATTCCATTTGACTGTTATTCTGTAGATAGAAATGAAAAGTCTGCAGAAGGGAGTTGTATCAGCTTCTTCAGGACCAAGCAAGCCTCTTTTCCAAGAAGCATGTCCAAAACTGCATTCCTTCCCATTTCAATCCCTTCAAATTAATATTTGCTAACAGATGGCAAAAAGCTCGATGAAAGGTCATGTTGGTGAGTGTTGAGCATTCACAGTGAGAGCCAGGAATTTGGGGTGCTCTGCAAGGGAGAGACCCCGAAGAGACTTTAACATTGCACTGCTCAATAGTCGAGAGGTTGCAGGGTCCAGTCCCACTCTTGTTCCCACTCTCCTGTCTCTGCTGAAATCCATGGAATTACACAACAACAAGGCCTGCACCTGATCCCTCCAGGCAGATATCGGAAAGCTGGACTGACTCCTTGAGCCAAGGTGGCACTGGAGAGGCTGTTTTTCCTACCATTGCAGGCACACTGCAGCTTATCATTCCTTTCCAGTCCAAACACAACATAAATCTCAGTGTCTCCCTTCCCATCTTCTGGGAAGAAATATGCATAGGGAATTATCTCTCTGATGTAAACATCTGTAAGCACCATTCACATATCCTGGTCCACATGAAAAAAAAAAAAAAATACTATCAAAGTGCCTGCTGCAGCCTTGACCCTTCTCAGCAGAGCAGCTCAGCTTTCCCATCAGCTTTCCAGACTTCTGAAATCACCCAGGTACCCAAACATCATGCACAGTTCATASCAATGCCAGCTGCTGTCTGCTTTGCTATTCCAGGAAAGAGCAGTTGCCCTTTCAGTGATTATACAAAAGCCCATGATTAAGAGAAGTAAAGCTGCCAGCTCATGTGTTGTGTTTCCTGGAGGCACTCAGTGGTATTTCTGACATCTCGTGTAAGGCACCAATCATCCGGTAGCTGAGCAAAAAGCGACCCACAAGACCTSCATTAAGCAACTGCAGAGGGAACTGACAAAGTTCAGCTGCTTTGCTTTGCCTTCTTGCTTACACAGCGTAAAAAGCRTGGTCACGCCATCTGGGGAAGTTTCTGATGGTTTCCTAAAAGGGGAAGCCTTGACTTGCACGGCAAGGAGCACGGGTGACTGTGCTACAGCACAAGCTTCTGACAGCTGTCATTCCCATGTGACATTCCCATGGACACAGCAGAGATGTCCTTGATCCCTGGGAAGCCTCTGYCACCTTACTTTCACAGAAAGGGAGTTTGTTGTCAGCAGCAAAGCAGATACCTCCTTACAAGACGTCTCCAAAATACACAAAGAGGACCACACTACAAAACCAGCTCTGTGGCACACTTGCTGCAGCTTCCCTGCCGCTGGTCTCTTCTGCACAGCCTTATTCCCAGAGATGCARTGCCAGAGATAGCAGAGCCTACGGACAAAGAGGTTGGCTGGATGCTGGCTGGCTGCACCGCTGAGCAGCCTCAGTCCAGAATGTCCGTCTCAAATGGRACCAGGTGGTAGTATGTCAAATTGGTGACATAAGCTGTTGGATCATCGCTGTCTTCCAGCTCCGAGGTAAAGTCACTAACACTTTCAAACCTAAGGAGAGATAGGAAAAAAAAAAAAAATCAAAAAGTGTTAAGTCATTTAGAAAATCAAAGGAATTGGATAAAAAGTACTAAGGGACTGGGAGAAGTAATTCCATCCACAGCTCCTTCTCGTCCTCATTTGTCTATGACTAAACCATGGGACACTGAACCAGGGTGCACGCAAGTAATCATGTCACCCCTGACTTTCAAAGCTGCTAGTGARGAAGGAAGGAAGCAGCAAGTGAGTCTTGGAAGAGTGAATCACGCAGCTGAAGTCCACATCCTCCTGTTTTATTCCCACAACATCTGACAACAACAMAAAATGCTTCAGTTCTCACATAAAAGTGAAAAGGAAACTGCCTTTTGTTTCCCATCTGAATTTGGACTCTCAGCCTTTCACTTCTYAGGTACCTTCTCTGGGTCTGGTTTTCTATGAGGCCAAGTATCTAACACACRTAGGAAAAAATTACTGCAGTGTCCTTCCTCCAGAATCTTTCCCATGGCACAAGATTTAGGTTTTGACAAGCAAAGAATCTCCAAATATAAAAAGATTCCCCAATTTAGTTTTACTYGTTTGGTATTTTCCTCTCCACCTCTCAGCGCCTGTTTTATAACTTGAACTTCTGCAAGGATTACCCACAGTGTACTCAAAAACCAGAAGGCATCAARTTGTTAAAAMCTACACTTTCCTCAGTTACACACAYTTCCATCCCAAGAAGRCTTGAATTTCTGCAGTGACAAACATTATCTTCTTCCCAGATAGTCTACCAGTTAAGGGCACTCACTGCAAACCAAGGACTAAGTTTCATCTCAGTTCTAAAAGGGGTTCAAAGAACCATCAAGGTTTTTTTTTTTTTGAAACTTTCTTTAATATTTTGAAAGAACTTTCATTCAGCCTGACAGAATGAGAAACAAAGGAAGTAGAAACTGAAAAATTGCACGAGGTGGAAAAAGAAATTCTAACCTAGGTTTGACTTCTAATTTGTGTCTCCAACACCCTTATAGACTGTCCTACTTCAACTCTCTTAATGGCAGATAAACAGATGAACATTAAAATAATTAATATTAAAAACTGCATCTCACCTACACATGAACTAATTAGACTCCTTAGATAAGTGAAACAACTACAGACRTCCCTCTAACCTCACCCCAGAGGGTCACCTAAGAGTCAGGTATTTCAGAGGATCTGAAGAAGAGTGGTAGCGTAAACAAATAGACAAGTCCCCCACTCCCAATCTCTTCCCAAACTTTATTTAGAACTCTCATGGGTTATTGGACAGCCATGGGTCTATACATCCTGCAATGTATGGCAACAGGTCTGTCTTTTCTACACTCCTTCCTGGTTCCTCTCATCACTTTTTTGTTTTTAACTGTGAGAACCAAAATAGAGAACTTTTTTTTTTGAGCAGAAAGTCATGGATTTTCCACTGCAGTGTTGCTGTTTTGCTCTTTGCTTTARATGAAACAGCAATGAGACTGAACTTTGAATGTTTATTACCCTCATTCTTCCAGTCCCTCCAGGCTGTTTGCTTGCCTGYGTGTGTGGGAACGTGTGCAGAAGGGAGCCGACTTGGTATCTTAAAAACACTTAACAGATCACGTTGTGCTGTCTTATGGACTGCAAGTGATCCAGAAACAACAGATTATGAAATACCAGTGGGGCAGAGCGAGGGAAGAAAGCGGMAGAGGAGTCAAGAAGGCTGTTCAGATTCTGCTCTCTTTCTCTTGTCAATAGCGCAAAGCTACATTATTGCAACTGAAAGGTTCCACGGATTTTGTGGTCCTCTAGCCTTACCGACAGGTTACTACAAGCAGAATGTGAGGTGCAAAGTAGTGAAAGTCACTACATGCTGTGGTTTAGCAGAAAGATTTTCTTGCCACCAAAAAGGAAGTGTGTGCACAGAAGTCCGCAAAGCGCTGCTCTGGAGTGCTCACAAAAAACCAAACTCAACAAACCAGGACTGTTTCCTACAGTCAGCAGCTGCACATGACACCAAAAGTAAAAGTGCTTCTGTGCTGTTGCCAACAGATCTTTTTCTCAAAATAAACTCTGCAACTCTAYCATGGACCTGCAACTTCCTAAATGYSAAAACCGCTGTCCGTAATATTTTTTCCTCRAAGTACCTTGACACACTGTCTTTCACAAGAGCCTATTTCTGCTGTAAAACAAACTTATTTACCATTTTAACCTCTGCTAATGCATTAGAATTTCTACTCAGATTCACCAGGAAGAACAGGGAACAAGGCACATAGAAGCTTATGGCTTGGACAGGCTTGCTAGATAAAAAACTGGTGGTCGGGCTTAAATAGTGGTTGATGGTGAGTGGWGTTAAATCCATTTGGTAGCCATTCATAAGAAATGTTTTCCTGGGCTCAGTTTTGGGGCCAATCCTGTTGAATAYCTTTATTGATGGTCTGGATRTGGGGATTGAGGGCACYCRCAGTCAGTTTGCAGATGACCCCAAGCTCAGTGAGAGTGCCAGTGTGCTGAGGRATAGGAAGGCTTTTAWCRAGGGATCTGGACAGGCTGGATTGATGGGCTGAGGCYAATTGTATGAGGTGYAACARGACCAAGTGCTGAGTCCTGCACTTGTGTCACAACAGGTGACTCCATGCAGGTGTGGGGCAGAGCCACTGTAAAGCTGCCTGGCAGAAAAAGACCTGGGTGTGCCGGTGACAGCAGCTGAACATCAGCACATGAACAGTGGCACTGCCCATGTGGCCAAGAAGGCCAATGGCATCTGGGTCTGTACCAGAAATAGTGACCAGCAGGCCAGGGATGTTCCCCTGTACTCAACACTGGTAAGGCCAATCCTCAAATCCTGTGTCCAGTTCTGGGCCCCTCACTAAAAGAAGGACATTGAGGGATTGGAGAGTGTCTAGAGAAGGGCAGTGGAGATGGGGAAGGGTCTGGAGCACAAGTCTGATGAGGAACAGCTAAGAGAGCTGGGGGTGCTGAGCCTGGAGCAATGAAGGCTCAGGGTGGAGAAATGAAGCCTCTCTACAATGGCCTGAAAGGAGGGTGTAGCCAGGTGGCTGTAGCTACTCTTCTCCAAGGTAGCAAGTGACAGGACAAGAAGAAAGTGCCTCAAGTTGTACCAGGGAAGATTTAGATTAGATATAAGGAAAAATTTCTTGACCGAAAGGGTTATCAAGCATTGGAACAGGCTGCCAAGGGAAGCAGTTGATCACCATCACTGGGAGTATTTAAAAGATGTACATTCCATAGAATCATAGAATGGTTTGGTTTGGAAAGGACCTTAGAGATCATCTACTTCCCACTCCCCTGCCATGGGCAGGGACACTTCCCACTAGACCAGGTTACTCAGAGCCCCATCCAACCTGGCTCTGAACATCTCCAGGGATGGGGAGTCCACAACCTGGAGAATTTGCTCCAGTGTCCCACGACCCTCATAATAAATATTTTCCCCYTATTATCTAATCTAAACCTACTCTCCTTCAGATTAAGRCCATCCCCCTTTGTCTTATCACTACATGCCCCCACGAAAATTCCCTTTCCAGCTCTCTTGCAGGCTCCTTCAAGTACTGGAGTGAATTTGCCAAAATGACAGCTCATCCAATGCCACAGACACTGCTGTTGCCCTGGAAGACAGAAGCTCAAAGTCCTGGCAGAGGGTGGTACCTCTGCAACAAAACCAAAGAGTTCAAATGCATTTGTTCACCACCTTTTTCTTTCTRCAGGACCGCAGAGTGCTCTCCAAGAACCACTCACAAAAGAACTGTGTCAAATGGATGCTGAGCACACAGCCATTATCACATTTTGCACCAGTGTGGGGCGCTACCAGACAAACCAGACGGAAAATGAAGGAAGCAGAAAAGAACATCTTCAGAAAAACAGAGGAACCAACTGCAGCTTGGAAAAATGCTGTGTTTTCTTTTGCAACAAGCAATGAGACTTTTCAGCTGATGGATCACTGGGCAGGTAGCACTGCAGGCTACCACAGCTAACCAGTATTGGGAATGAGCATTTCCTGCTGAAGCTTCAGGCACTTCTTCCCAAAAACACCGGTTTGCTTTGCAAAATGTCACATTCAATTACATCAGCAGCCAAAATCCAGAAGTCATAATGAGTTTAATGCAACTGAAAGGAAAAAATTCCCATCTGAGGATATACAATCCACAAGGAATTAACTCTGATTTTATGGTAGAAGACACCAATCCCATAAATCCAATTTTACTGAGACCAAAAGGGAACAGCATAGGATTTTGAAAATTTTGAAAGTTTCCTTTCTGGGCTAATAACATACATTTAAACCAACAGTATAGAAAATTTCTGCTTTTGAAAAAAAGTTCAATTTTTACAAAACAGTTGTGCTACACTGGTGCCATTATCTCCAGGCTATTACCTCTTGGCTATAAAATACAGCTGCAGGACAGGAAAATTTAGGGCACCATATAAAACACACATTTGAAATTTATTAACTTCTTGACTCCACATCCTTTGGAAAGTTAAATCACAAATGCRCAAAGTCAGGCTGTTACCCTAGATTCATTTCTTCCACCACAGTTTCTGGAAAGCTATACCTACTATTCAGTTTTTATCACATTAGTRTTTTCTGACCTTAAGAGTCTCTGACTTCAGTGGGATGACAGTTAGATGAYTGCAGTTTCTGATCCCAGGCTGGTAAGTTTTGCTTGGACTGGGGCACATTTTTAAAATCAAAACTAGCCATAAATATTTTTTTAATAATTAAAAAAAATTATCAAAATAAGGAGGAAAATGTTTTCTTTGGTAATTTTCTCCTATTATTTGTCACTCCCAGCACAAAGAGTGATCCACTGAACTGTAACAACTTTAATTTCCAGGTGTTGACCTTACAGAATTACTTCTAGTGGGCAATTTTAGCCCTATTAATAAAAGCTTATAAGCTTAAATGCTGYTAGCAAGGCCAAGGTTCAAAACACTAAGTGATAAGTTAATAAAAAGACTTCAAGAAATTACACAGGAGACAGAGACACTCTGACAAAATCTTGCCAAGCTCTAAACCTTGTTACAGACTGGCAATGACCACATCTCAAATGTGGCAAAACAGATTGCTACATTCAAAGATAAAAGCTTTTAGTATTTTGTTTCCTTCATTTGACTGGTCTAATGAAAAAGTAGGCCAATATTTCTCATTAAAAAAAAATTAAATGCTTCACTACCTGAAGCTCATTGAAATATCAATCACCTGGTATGACAGGAATCTGTAGGAGCAGATTTCTATCAATACCCACCTGTCAACACAGTCACGGACTTAAGACCTTCATTAATCCTGGAATCACAGAATGGTTGGGTTTGGAAGGGATGGCTGGAGATCATYCAGCCCAAYCCCCTGACAAGGCAGGGTCACCCAGAGCAGGTGACACAGGAACMCATCCTGGTGGCTTTAGAATGTCTGCASAGARGGAGATTCCATGACCTCCCTGGGCAGCCTATTYCAGTGCTCTGATACACTYAAAGATGCTCTTCCTYGTGTTGAAGTGGAACTTCTTGTGCTTTAGTTTATAACCATAAAAGCCCTTCTGSTTACCAGGGTCTGACCCCAGAATACCTGCATGCATTAGGAAGCAAAAATTWCCTATAAGACTAATCTAACTTGCTTTTCCCCTAACAAAACACACATGCTACCCCAAGTCCCAGCTGAGCARCTGCTGACCTTTGTTCAATTACATWCAGAGATATGTCCCTCTGAGGACAGTGTTTTGCTTCCCAAACATCCTACTATCCTTTGTAGCAGGATATGCCATTTGTGAGGCTGTCTGAGTTCCCAAGTTTGGGCTCAMAGCAGCTCTCATCAGTCATGAGAGAAAGAAATAACTCTGCTCTGCCTTGGCAGCACCCCTACAGCAACCTCAGTTCTTTTTTCATACACAAAGGATTGAGCATTTTGGAGTCAAACACTCTCCCATTTTATCCGCTTTAACAGGAAATTGCTGGGAAGTGTTAGCAATCAGGCCCAGTAACATTTAACCAGTCGGGATGACAGCTATACCAGCCTTTCTCTTAGACAGGCAACAACATTTTGCTAGAGGGGTGGGAAAGCTACAATTTATCTGAAGGTGCATTGCTCTTGCTCAAACTCCACTTACAGATGTTCTGCTGAATCCACATCCAGGTGCTTCTCTTTYCCATTAGGTATACTGTGGTCAATGACTATTGTTTCAGTGTTGGCTAAACAGAATCCATTTGATCGCATGATTTCTATTGGGAGAAGAAAGAAAACAAGATTTTTTAAAAAAGCTGGAAAACAACTGCGTATCATATGTAATTGACACAGCTATGAACTGAGATGTGTGCATGACATTGAAAAYCTGCACATGAAAGCAGGAATGAAGAGTTGGTTTCACAGCTTCTTACATCCGCAAACCACCAGTGCTCTAGCAATTTTATTCACCTAACCAATTCATGACACAGAGCATCTGAAACAATTACCACTACCAAATCATAATTGGTTTTTTTTTTTTTTTTCTTAGACAGTCCCTGGCTTAAGCCAATTAAGCAAAAATTAAAAGGACATGAAAAAGGAAATAAAAATTGACATTACAAGTTAATTCAACCATAAGTCAATTCATGTAAAGCAACACCATGTCTTACRCTATCTTTACCCCTGCTTATTTTGTTTCTCATTGTGTTAGAAGCCTCCAATACAAAATATCTAAATTTCACACCTGATTCCACTGATTTACTGCCATGGGGAGACCTGATAACAGAAGAATACTATTTTATGTGAATGAGAAGTTACCCACATCTGTGCTGTATGGAAAGTCAAGTTAGGTGAGTCAGGATTGAGGCAAATCAAGAAAGGATTTCTTCTAGTCACACTATTTTAGATGAAGCYAGGACCACCACAAAATAAAAGCACGTTTTTAAAAAAAATCAGCACTGACTTAAGTAGGATAACTCTTGATCTCCCTCAAGGAGATCAAGACCCCATGTTACAGCCTTGCATTATCAGGACAACAGAAGAAAATTAGTCTGTGGCAGAAAATATGGTAGGCAGAAAACATGCAAACAAATTCAGCTGCATGTACAGTTCAAGGAGCTAGTGAACAGGAGATGAGACAGGAGAGGGTTTTGGGTTTGATGTTTTTTTTTTAACATTTACATATTCCAGCATCAAGGTTAAGCCAGAACTTATTTCCGTATTTTTATTGTGAGTTATCTTTGACTTTCAGTCTGTATTTTGCTACAACTCAATTTAACAGAATGTTTTTGGKGGTTGTGAAAACACTGAGCCCCAGCAGAATCACACTTCACATGACTCATCTTGAGCCAACATTGTGTGATTGTACAATAAGATTTACATGATAAATTCAAATTCAGCTTTCAGCTTTCATCTTAGAGGGTGGCTCGTTCTCTCTTCCCCATCACCTACCACCCTGGGAAGGACCGCACAGGGGACAATTTGTTTTCTCAGAGAACACAAAACGTTTTGCCTGCTTTTCCAAGACTGCAAGCCAGATAAAAAGCTGCACTATGACTAACAGGAATGCCAGGATTTTCCTAGTGTCCTTGACTTGACCTAAGAGCTACAGCATTTCACTGCTGCATGAACTGCTTTACACATTGTCATTTACTGCCATCTACCGACAGAGCTGCTGGACACTAAACCTTTTCCAGTGTGTGACATCCAGATGAGGCAAGTATCAATTAACATCACATTTCCATCTATGTGCATCACATTCCATCTATAAGCAGCAATCTCTTAAATTATAAAATTAATTACCACAAGATGTTTTGGATTGCTGCATAGATAGGAGAATCGTCCTCCAATTAATTGGGTGTGACTCATCTCTACCAACATCATTTACAATTAAAACATGCTGTTGTTCAGCTGACATGGTTTCCCCAGCTCCTCCACAGSCTGTCAGGAGGGCTCCCTTTGCTGCTGACTCCTGTCCATCAGACAGGCCCCCTTGCTCTGAATTTAGGTTCATCTCAGGTACCTTCTCTCTGYTGTACCCACCATGTGCCAGACTCAGTCACGCACACACCGAGTCCGTGTTCCCTGAGGGGCTGCACGCCCTCCCAAAAAGTGCATGAAAGCTTTCCACACAGGAAAATCCCCAGAGCAGAGCAATGCTTCAGGAGGCAACCTATRCAATTCCAAATACATTTATTCTTGGTAATTGCTCTAAGAAGAGCAAGGTATCACCAACAGCACACACCCTTTGAAACATTTTTAAAGCATGTAGTGTGGGGCTCCTTCATTTCATAATGGGCAGGATTTAGGATCCATTTTGCAGCTCTGGTCTCACAGAGTAGCAAATTACTTCAGACRAAACCCATGAATGGGCTCTCAAGGGTTGGTGCTGAGAACATGTCCTGGTGTTCAGAAGCAAAATGCATAACCATGTGCAGCCTTTGGCAGATGACTAATGGCAAGAACATACACATGAAGAATTTTACCTGAGGTTTCCACATTGACTCAAGACATCATCCAAACCCCGCTAAGCACAGGTGAATGTGAGATAAGCCTGTTGGCTCCTGTTTCTTGCTCCCAGGAGGTCAGACCTCCATCACCCCACTTGGCAGTATGACCCTGTGGGCTGTTTTTTACACTACAGGCTGGGCTTGGGGGCCCTACAAGAAGGCACCAGCCCAGACAGACTGGCAAGACCACCCTTCTCACTGAGGMTCTGTGCCACACAGTACTCATAGGCCATCTTCTATTCAATTAAAGGAATAAATTTTTTTAACAGAAGACCTATTTACTCAGAACCAGAGCTAAGGATCAATTACAAATAGTTTACCCTATGTGTGAGATCAAGCCTTAGGACACACTGTATACACCTTTAGCTGGTTGATGTTGATTAGCCATCAACTAATGTTTTGTTAGTACCAAAGAGAACTGATACCAATTTCTTGCTAAACTCTTTATATATGTTGGAGAATCGTGTAGCATTTCACTTCAATTAACTCTCTGAATAAGCTCTTCTGGTGCTGCAAACCCAGCAATTGCCATTAGGCTCTTTTTTGAGATGTTACAATATAGACATACAAAACCAGGCACACCAGAAGTTCACCGACCTTTCAACAGCAGTCAGTAGCAGATGAAGAGGGGGAAGGCTTAAAGAATAGGAAAGGATTGAGTAATACTGCCCTCCACTTTACCCACTAGCAATCTGTGGTTTAGGAACTTCAATGTACTTTTCTCTTCCACTTGCTTTTCTAATTCTCTTTTGAAGTCACTTTATGCTTTCAGTTTCACCATATCCTATGACAATGAGCTCCACTCCTTAACTATGCATTGYATGGAAGCAAAATAATATTATAGCCTTTCTTTTGTTTGTTTAAAGCCTGTTGTCTGTCAATGATATTGGATAACCTATAGCTCTTGTTTCATGAGAAGCACAGGTAATTGACCTCCTTCTGTCCACAGCTTTGGAGGCTTCCATCATACCCCAGTCTGTCATCTCTTCTCACAGGTGAAGTGTCCTCCTTTAATTATTCTCTTTCTTAGGGAAGCTGTTCAACAACTTGAATGCTTGCTCTTTATTTGTATAATTTTTAATTCTATTATATCCTGAGATGGAGAAACTRAAATTGTGCATACTGTATTCAATATGGGGTTGTGCTCTCCTCTGTTTCCCCCTCCTCTCCTCATGACATCTAATATTCTCACTTCTGGTATTGCTCATTGCTTGGCACCACACTTCCATTTTCACAGAATTGCATTGATAGCTTCAAAACCTCCTTTCTAAGTGGTAACAGCACTGTCATATGTGATSACACACAGTAGGGACTGCATTTTCCTCACATTAACTGCTTTGCATTTGTCAGCCTCCTTTTTCACCTGTCACTTTATTGCCTGAATGCACGTTGCATAGTATATCAAGGCTAATTATATGTTCTATATCATAATGCAGGCTATTGAGAACTATATTTTGAATTCTTGATAGAGAAATAATAATGGGAACAGCAAATAAAGTAATTTTCATTCTGAAATTCTTGTGTCGACTGCAGGAAGTTAACAACTCTTACCTGATATTTTAACTGGACTTTGAAAGCTTGGCTGAATTTTATGGACATTGTCATTTTTTAGAACTTGGTCCAAAGGAGATCTCTCAAAAAATGTGAGGACAACTTCAGACCTTGAATACTGGAAAAAAGGAAACAAAAACAGACATTCATTTTTAACCAGTAGTTTGCTTTCTCCCTCTTCTCCATCTCCAGCCCTTCACAGTATGACAGAAGGTTTTATTACGAGCAACAGGTTGGAGGCATCWTTACACAGTTCTGGCACTCAGCATTTCTCTGATTTACTCAATAAATTGCTTCTTTCAGGGTTTGRCAAAGCCCATCACATTTAATCTGCATGAGAGTGCATGTCAGCATGAAGGAGGAGTCAAGCTGGGCTACATTGGAACTTGGCTTACTCACCTTCCAGGGCATGTTTATAATAGTTTTCAGAAGTTTTTCCACTTCATTAAGTCTGGCTTCTATATCATGGGCTTCTTTTATTGTGATGAGCCCTRGAAGCAAAGTAAACAGACCATAAGCATAAACAAAAGCACACTTTCACTCACGTTAGCAGCCAGAATCAGCCACTCAGGAAGATGTGGAATAACTTCAAATATGCCTCCCAGAAACATCTTTAAACCAACTGATGATAAAGCATGCACCCCAAGCTGAGGTGGGTGTAGTTTACGAGCAGAGTTGCAAGCCTGACACAAACTCAGCTGTTTATGACCAYGTGTAGGAATTGCAAGACAAGCAGAAGTAGAACCACCTACTCCCTCACCCACAGTTTCACTACACAGCATTCCCAGCAGTGATAATTAAACAGCCCACTTTCTGCTTCTGACAACCATTATTCATCCTTCCTTTTTCTGTAAATAAAAAGAAAGGAAAAAAAAAAATCAAGAAAACCAAAAGAAAGCCTGACAGATAAGAGGAAAAAAATAAACACAAGCTAAACAAAAGACTTTGAGAGCAGTTTCGTATTTCTCTGACTGTAAGCCCCAGTGAGAGGTCCAAGGAAAATTTTTCAGTATCATGTTCTTCAAGTGCAAGATAACTGTCAGGAGGGTTTTTTTCATATAACCAGTCACTGAATTACCACGGTGCTGCAGAAGGGATTAAGATGGAAATTTTACTTTGCTCAGTATAACTCTAATACCATAATTTGTATGTATAACCTGCAGGGTGTGTGTACCTTCTCTCTTCTCCAGCAGGCTGAAGGGAATACAGCACAGATTATGTGCATGTACAGGGCATATAAGGAGATGCAAACCCTTGAATCTCACATCCCTCTAGCGGCCCTTTTAATKCCGATATTTGCAACCTGCCTTTCCAAACCAAATCATCATCTGACCTCTACATTTGTGCTTCTTTTCCAAAGAGCAGGATA